TACGACATTCTAGGAAAAACTAGCTTATTGCCACAGACAGCAGATCAACTGGCTGCCTATGGCCAAGGGTGGTAGGAGATTAATTGCAAAAGGGCTTGAGGGCACATTTTGAGATGGTGGAAATGTTTTTTATCTTGATCAGAATGTTTATATTTACATTTATGATTGTCAAAACTCATCAACATGTACTCTTAATATGGGTGGATTTTATGATTTGTAAAAAGAATCTCTTGTTATTCCTGACTCCAATTTCCCCAGGACCAATACACCAGAAATAATACTGTTCAAATAACCCTACAAAATGCAGTTCTAACCATATTAATCCCCTGCTTAAAACTCAGCAAAAGTTCTTAGTTTTCAAAGTCAATTTTAAACTCCTAACCCAGTCTAGAAGGCTGCTATGAGTTGAATTCTGCCCGTCTCTCCCGACTCATCCCAGTCTCAGCAGAAGCATAAGATCCACACCTGTGTGTAGGCACCGTGATATGCTCTCTGCCTGCTGACATTCCAGTCACCCCATGAGAGCCAGCGTCTGTGTCAGCTTCTTCTCTTTCTTCAAGGCTGAACTTTCACGTCATTTGATATTGTGGCACTTAATGTTTTGCACTTGAATTTTCTGGTGATTTGTGTGACACCCCATTACACTGAGAGCACTGTGTTAGTGGAACAAACCCCTGTCTATGTTTCCTGGAGGGCCTGCCATGTGGTAAGTGCTATGTAAAGTGTGTTGAGCACTTGGCTGAGTGGGTGGTGTCAGTTCTCTGTACTTTGCCCTTTGGTGTATTCTGAGGCCCTGATTCTGGCAGAGAACCGCCCTCGAGTGCTTGCCATCACTGAGAACTTCTGCTTCTTTGGTTTGTGTTGAATGTCCTGCTGTCCCATTCAGGGCAGTGGAAAGTCCAAACCCCTCTGCTCTCATCACTGAAAAGTCCTATTCAAATAGGCTTTTCTCTCGTACTTTCCCCTAGAAGACATTTTCAGAAAGAAAAGAAAATTTTGTGTTTGCTTTGTTAGGTAAAACTTAACAGAAAAGTTAATACAGCTTCAGTCACAGTGTCAGCCTAATTGTAAAGCCAGATGTTAGTAACATACTGCACATTCCTGCCAACAGAATCCATTCACCATTTATCATGTGCTTTGCATGTGCTTGTTGTTGGGAAGGAATCAAAGATAAAAAGACAGTCCTTTTACTGGGAGAGCTGTCCAGAGTGCAGCACAGGGGACAAAACAGCACCAGAGCTGCAGGCTAGGACCCACTACGAGATGCTCTGTTACACACACACACACACACACACACACTCCTGAGGGGCATGCACTAGGAGGCTTTCCCAGCCAGGGCCAATAGGGGAGGCTTTAGCTGATTGGGTCTTGAAGATGGGGAAGATTTAAAAACACAGAAATGGAAAGGAAAAGCCATTTCATTTAGGGCCAATAGGAAAATCAGGCTCCTTGCTGGAGCCCAGAAAGTCCCTGCTGGCATCAGGGCAGGCACCAAAAGGGACTGGAGTGAAGGTGAGGTTAGGCTGTCTGGGAGGCTGAGTCAGAGCATGAGGACCCTTTTAGGAATTTGGGCTCCTTCTCCTCTTGGAGAATTCTGAGCTGATTGGCAGAAGGAGTGATGGACAGTAGAGTAAGATTCAGAGAGGGTGAGGAAAGGCTATTCTGATCTCAGATGTAGGCACAGGCCCTGGAGGAGCTGGGGGAGGACAGATTAGTGACTTATGACATGGCTCAGGCATTCCATCCTGTATGGAACGGTCACAACTCTAACCTCCTCTGCTAAGCTTTTGCCCTCCCACCTTCTCCTCCTTCATCTTCTTTGTGACCTCTAAACTGTAGCTAAAACATTCAGCCAGGCTTCAGGACACTTCTCTCCTTCCCTCCCTGGCTCTCAGCTCCCTGGTTCACAGCTAGTCTCTCTCTCCACTGCTCTATTAAGCCTCGCTCCCAAATGTAATGGGAAAACTGGGGGAAAATCCTCCTTGCATGTCATGCTCACAGGATTTCCTACAAATTGGTCCCTCAGGTAAGCTCCCACCAGAAACTTTGTCTCCTTAGGCCTTTGGGTTTTCTTGGTAGGGTTGGTGGGTGGGGGCATTTCCCCATTGTGTTTTCTGAGCATCAGGTCTTGGCCCCATGGGACTGAGAGACAGGGTGGTAGGTGGCTTCTTGTGCGTATTCCCCTTCCCCTTTATGTTACAATTATGTCACTACTGAAGGTTATTCTCTTCAGAGAATTTGCCCTGGTCAGGGCCTAGGAATAGGGAAGTAGTTATGATAAGCTCAGAGAAGCTAAAGAGCACAGCAGGTGGGAGTTCCCCTGGTCACCTGCTCTGATGCAGCCTTTGCCTTTAGTCTGCCCAGCGGACTTCAGGTTCCGCCTTTGGGGAAAAGAGAAGTTGACCCCAGCAGTCTCTCTCTGAGGTCACGCACCCTGCCCTGGAGCCTGCATTCCTTGGGCCACTTATTAGCCAGGGTGACTTAAGGGTTCTTTGCTCTCATTCCCCATCAAAACTCAGCTTGCCTCACCCTGGGCAGAGCAGAGAAGGGTCCCAGCTATTGAAGTCATTCCAGCTACACCCCGAACACTGTGGGGCAGAGAGCAGTCATCCCTACTGCGTCCTACCCAAATTTCAGGTTTATGAGTAAAATACATGATTTTTGTTTTAAGCCAGTAAATCTTGGGGAGTGGTTTGTTACCAAAACATTGGATAACTAGAACATACATGTAGAAATGGGGGGATTTACGTAAGCACAATGAGGCTACAGTTCACATGTGTGTATGTGATGATAATTGCTAAAGCAGTTTACAAATGAAAGAAGTTGATAATTAGTTATTAGGATGATTGCTAATTTGTTAATCCCATGACAAACACTACTAATTCTTTCAGCCTTCCCTAGCAAGGGCTTCATGCTACTTCAGTAGAAATTTCTGGACAAAACAAATAGAGAGACAATCTTAGTTAGGTCATAGGCACTTGCTAAGTGTGACCAGATCTGGTAAATCATCTTCCATTATCACCTCATCCCCAACCTTCTGCTTGTTTCAGCCCATGACAGAGGAGAGCCCCACAGGTGCATTTCCCAGAACCTTAGAACATCTGCACACGTTTTCACTCCACAGCCTTAGTGAGGGGTCTAGGGAGGGCTTCTGGATTTGCAGACACTGCAGTGACATCCTTTAATTAGTCTCTTCTGCAGTTCCTTTGACTGCCTATAGTATGGTATAATTTGTTCCAGACTGAGGGCCGCAATTTTCATTTCAGCACCTGAATCAGCTCCTGGCACACGATAGCAGTTTGGCGTATGCCTATGGAATAACTAATGCCCGCATTTTCCAGATCTTGCCCATTCTGGTTGACTTACTCAGAGTGTACTTTAACTTCACACAAAATTCCACGTGTCAATAGAGTGGCTCAGAGGGATGGGAACCATGCCATGAGCTGGTCTTGGTAGGTCTGTGTACCAGCAGGCCCTGGAGAATGCAGATGCAGACTGCAGAAGTACTGAGAAAGGGTGTCTCCACCCCCATTTCTTCACCCCGGTTCATGGTCAGTTCCTTGCCTGTGACTCACATTTCCACCCCACCCTGCTAAGTCCAGGAGTCTTCCAGTCCCACGATTTCTGATCCATGCATTGATTGGATAGTTTACCTGACTTAAGAATATGAATTATCAAGCTTAAATTAAGACCTTCTTTTCAGTTAGAAATTTTAGAGTAAACAGAAGGTGAAGACCAAAGAAGATATTTTCTTTTTTCCTCCTCACATCACTCTTCCTCAGCTACTCAAAGGATCAAGGGTGGTATTGCCACAGCAACCTCCAGAAGCCCTTGTTCCTTGTTACCAGGCTGTTTCTCTAGTGAAAAATTTCCATTCCAAATTTTCACTAATGTGATTTACCTTCTGGATTGCATTTTAGACTATTTTAAATGCGAAATTCACATAATCATTTTAAAGTGTGCAATTCAGAGGCATTCAGTACATTCACAGTGTTGTGCAACAACCACCTCTTGCTAGTTTCAAAACGTTTTCATTGCACTCTGGTCAAACCCTGTATCCAGGGCAGTGCCTGTGGCTCAGTAGGTAGGGCACCTGCCCCCTATACTGAGGGTGGCAGGTTTGAGTCCAGCCCTGGCCAAACTGCAACAAAAAATAGCTGGGCGTTGTGGTGAGTGCCTGGAGTCCCAGCTACTCGGGAAGCTGAGGCAAGAGAATTGCCTAATCCAAGAGCTGGAGGTTGCTGTGAGCTGTGATGCCACAGTACTCTACCAAGGGCAACAAAGTGGGACTCTGTTTCTAAAATAAAAAAAAAAAAACCCAAAAAACCCTGTATCCATTAAGCAGTTATTCCCTCCTCCCTTCAGCTGGCAACCACCAATTTGCTACCTGTCTCTATGGATTGAAAGAGTCAGGATATTTTATATAAATAGAGTTGCATAACATGTGACCTTTTCTGTTTGGCATCTTTTTTCTTAGCAGAATGTTTTTGAGGCTCATCCGTGTTGTACCATGTGTCAGTACTTCATTCCTTGTTTGTGGGTGATTATTCAAAAAATAATGTCAGTACTTCATTCCTTTTTTATGGGTGATTATTTGAATAAACAAATTATGTTCTGTAATTTGTTTATTCATTTATCTGTTGAGGAGCTTTTGAATTGTTTCTACCTCTTGGCTATTGTCAACAGTGTTGCTATGAGCATGATTTGTTTCTAATTCTTTGGGGGCATACATCTATGAATGGAATTGCTGGGTTTTTTTTTTTTTTTTTGGTACTTCTATATTTAACTTTTCGAGGAGCTTCCGAACTTTTTCACAGGGTTGCTCCATTTTGTATTCCCATTAGCAATGTACGAGGATCTTAATTCTCCATAATAAGACTGTCAAAGCTTAATTAATCACAGGATGAGGAAGTGGCTTCTCTGGGTTTTCCTCTTTCTCTTTCACACACAGCCCATGCACGAAAGTGAGTAGGAGGAAGGACACTGCAGCGTGATGCAAACAGAAATTCTTCAAGCCTCCATATATCATCATGTGTCATGACTCTGCCAGGCAGTGTTCGCTTCCAGTTGCCTCATCAACTTCCAGATCAACCTGCTCAAGACGCTGTTCTTCACCCAGCAGAAGATGACTGACTGTGAGTTTGGATACATTCACAGGCTGGCTCAGGACTATCTGCAGTATGTCCTGCAAATACAGCAATGTGGATCAGGTCCAAGCAAAACGTCCAGAGTGCTGCAAAATGTTGCATTTTCAGTCCAAGAAGAGGTTGAAAAGAGTCTGAAACCATGCTTAGACAATTTTAATGTTGTATCCATAGATACTGCCAGAACAATATTCAATCAAGTGATGGAAAAGGAATTTGAAGATGGCATCATTAACTGGGGCAGGATTGTGACAATATTTGCCTTTGGAGGTATTCTCCTCAAGAAACTTCTCCAACAGCGAATTGCCCTGGATGTGGATACTTATAAGGAGATTTCTTATTTTGTTGCTGAGTTCATAATGAATTACACAGGAGAATGGATAAGGCAAAATGGAGGCTGGGTATGTATGCTAGAAAAGTTCTTCGTTGTTATTCACTATGAACTAGAGATGCACAGTACCTTTGCTAATTAAAACAACAAGATATCTACCTAAGAATACTATTTTCCTTGGGTAGTTTGTTCTAATTTTTAAAATTACATATACTTTCTGACTCATTTCCAACAAGTCCTAGAACTTTAGAGCTAGAAAATACTTGTGTTTCCAGTTCTTACTCCTAACAGTACAAATTACAGTCGGTTTGGGGCTAACAAAACACCTGCCTCTCTAGAATCAATAGTGCAGACACTCTATCCAGGCCTTAGCTTTGGCTACAGTTGTCGTGTTAATGTAGTATTAGTAGAGAAAGAGCTGCTATTAGGTGCTGTTGTATTTAGGTATTTTGTAGGTTGCAGAACATACAGGTACATTTTGGCAAGTTTATTATTTCCAAATTAATTTTTCTCCAGTTTTCTAATATAGCAAATTCTGCACTTTTAAAGCTTGTTGATAAAACAAAAAATCTGCTGAACCACCAGCAAGAACTTCTATTCAAGAATTTGCAAATAAAAATTCACTCTATCATCAGTGCCCCCCCAAACCAAGACTGTCTATGGGCTTCCATTGGAGCTCATGTTGGTAGCAAGTCCCTCACAGCATGAATGTATAGTATGTGCTTTCTTTTATACTCCAACACACTTAGTGCTTATTATGTTAAAGTATTAATGTCCCCATGTATCCTCCCTCCAACCCCTAATCCTGGTCCTCAACTCTCCCAAGAAGTAAACACTGTTACCAATTACTTTACATACAAAACATGTCTATTGACTATATTCGTAGAAAACATGCATAGTATTTCTTTGTGAAATATTTTTTATATGTAAAGATAGTAGATGATTCTTATTCTGTAACTTTTCTTTTTTATCCAACAGTATTTTAAAGAGTGCTATATATCTCTGTTGTATGTAAATGCTGTTGAGTACCTGAGTATTTCTAGTTGCTAGGTTATAAAATGGCCAGATAGGTTATTTAGGTTATTTCCAGAGTTTGCTGTCACACACAATGCTTCATTGTGTATCTTTTTACACACCTTCCCTTGTGCATATGTATGCTTTTGTGGTGGATGTTGGGGTATAGAATTGCTAGGTCATGGTGTATGTATGATAAATGTTTTAAGTTTATGAAATCCTTGCCCTTCAAAGTTACACTCCCATCATCAGCATGATAGAGTATGTGATATTTCTCCCCACTTCAGCTGACTAACATTAGGTTGTAGCAATCTGTCATAATTTTCCCAATTTTTCTGGCAAAAATAATTGTTTTAATTTGCATTTCCTTAATTATTAGTAAAGTTAAGCATCTTTTCATGTTGAGCATCCTTTCATATGTAATTCTTACTCAGCAAATTGCCTGTTTATATCTTGTCCATTTTCCGATTATTGTGTCTTATTCATATTGATTTGTAGGAATCCTTTGTGCATTCTGATACAAATTATTTGTATACATGTGGCAGATATCTTCTAGTTTGCTGATTATCTTTCAAAACTATAGATTTTATGCAATATAAGTGGTATATCTGCTGTTTGAAATTTATAAGGGTCGGCTCGGCGCCTGTGGCTCAAGCGGCTAAGGCGCCAGCCACGTACACATAAGGTGGCGGGTTCGAATCCCCAGCCCGGACCGGCCAAACAACAATGATGGCTGCAACCAAAAAATGGCCAGGCGTTGTGGCGGGTGCCTGTAGTCCCAGCTACTTGGGAGG